ATTCCTCTTTTTTTTTTCTTTTTTTTTCAATTCTAATCTGGGCCCAATTCTTTCTTTTCTTCTTTTTTTATTTTTTTAATTTTTTTCATTTTTAATAGGAGTAAAAATAGGGTGATGACACTCATGATGATAGAAATTAAGGATAAGTCATGCAAAACAAGGTATGAAGCAATTATCCATCAATTCGATAAAACTTCACACTAGCAAGACAAGCAAACATACTTCACATTATCACAAGGTTTTTGCCACAGCCTAACAAGATATATATTTACTCCCTATCACCAATTGAAGACCCAAAACACAACATTTCACTAAGGAATTAAGGTTCAAAATCAATCATTGATGAAATTCATACACTCTAAGTCTTGTGATGTAGATGAGAGTTACATTATTTGGACAAATTAAAGATGAAAAAAGACACTTCATGATCTCTCAAGAACTTCATCTTGGCTCTTGTCCTAACTCTTGATCATTTTCCCAAAACTTCCTCCCTTTTGCTAGCCCCTCTTTAGGTCTCTCTATATGTTTTTCCTTTGTAAGAACAAATGGCCAAAACCTTAGCCAAAGCAAACTTCCATCTATTTATAGTGTTAAGCCATGCATAAAGAAGTGGTAAAAAATCCTAGTTTGTGACACCTCCCTAGCCAAATAATCCATGGAAACCAAGGTGGCGACACTCATCTTTGCACTAACTCAAGGTAAAATAACTCCCCTCTCACTTATTCGATTAATTCAATCAAGCCTCTTGATTAAGCATGAATCGTTCTACAATTTCAACAAGATCACATGCAAGTAATACATATAATATTAAGGACAAGCAAGGCATGGCATTCAACAATGAAGCATAGAATACGACATGAAAATCATCAACAAAAATTATTTATTGTAACATGGCAGTTTTCGACGTAAACTAGCATGTCATGATGCAATTATTTTTGGCAATGCAAATATAAGCATAGAATATCAAGTAAATCACACACATGTATATGCATATTCCATGATCAATGGTCTTGGCTATTATAGTTGGGTTCTAGATCATATTGAGAAAAATCAAGTATAAGAGGAACAGGTAGATTGGGTTTGTCTTTTAAGTGAAATGAATTTTGGTGGGTGGCTTAGATATGGGAAAAGGACTCGTACTTGAGAATGGTGCGATGAAGAAGCAATAGAGGTTTAATATGCACGAGTTAAAGGAATAAGATTAATTAGATGTTATGGATAAGTATTTCTAGTGGTTTGTGCATGATATGAGTTGTATTGGGGTTATGGGCTAAAGGGATTAGGTGTTGGGAGATTTAGGCTAATGGGTTGTTATGGATACTTTAGAGAGGCTAGTAGATATGGACCCGAGATAGGCATTTGGGGAGGTAGGGGATAGGAATGACAAGAATTGGTAGTAAGGTCCTGTGGATTGAAGTGATTAGGTATGAGGAGTTTTGGACTTAAGGGCTACTGTGGATTATTTTAGGAGGTCGACGAATGTGGGCTTCGGATGGGCTATTGGCGAAGTGGGCATGGATTGGTGAATGTAGATTTGATACGAAATTATGGCGATAAGATGTGGGTGTGAACTAGAGAAATTTGCTAGTAGTAAATCGAGGATAATAGGAGTGGATGATAGACCGAGTGCGGGGACATCTTTAACTATTGTAAAAGGGAACACATTTTCATTGAATAAAACATGGCATGAGACGTAAATTTTAGAAGTGGTACATTTATAACCATTATGAAATTTACTATAACCTAAGAAAACACAAGATTTAGACCGAGGAGCAAGTTTATGGGGGCATAGGGGTGTAATCATGGGTAAAATTAGCAACCAAATATTTTTAATGAAGAGTAATCGAGTTGATGATTAAATAGTGTTTGAAAAGGGGTTTTATGATTGAGGAGTGGGGTAGGAAAATGTTTGATGATATGTACTACTATATCGGAGACTTCAAATCAATAAATTAAGGGAACTAAGAATTGTTGTAATAAAGCAAGGCTATTTTCAATAATATGGCAATTCTTGCCTTCAACATAGCTATTTTGTTCAAGTGTATGAGAGCAAGAGCTGCATTAGGATGCCATTATCACAAAGGTATTTGGATAATGATTGATATTCACCACTCGAGTCGACTTAAAAGGATTTAATTGACTCGTTAAAATTTTTTGACAAGATTGTGAAATTTTATAAACACACTTAAGACTTCGATTTACAGAAATAAAAAATACCAAACTATATTTCTTGAAGTAATAAAAAATATAAAATATAATAGCATTTCTTTTTACAAGTAATAAATAGGTTAGGGCCCTCTAATCGGAACAAATTAAGTCTAATGGGCTTTCGACTTGAAAGATTAAACTAGGAAATGGGAGTGTTTTAGCCTTGCTAGTACAATAAATGTCACATAAACTAAAAGGCATTTTATTAGAAAAGGAAATATAAAAATTAACTAAAGCATGCTGAATATTTTGAATTAAAGCATGGTCGAGTCTAGCATGCCAAGTTAAAAGTGATACGATGTAGGCATGAACAGACAATGACTTGGAAAAATAAAATAAAGAATAAAGGTCATTAATTATAATACCATGGTAAAGACATTGTTAAATTTGTGAATGAAGAAATAGATTATGAACATGTAAGATAGAATTCTAGCTAAAAGTATTGTTACCAAGGGAGATATAGCTAGATCCAACATGATATATAGATAGTTTGGAACTCGTTACCTATTTTCACTTCTTTAAGACTAGAATATTTAAAGTGAATACCAATGTTCTCCAAGTCGGTAATTAGATTATGAGTTGCACTTGAGTCCAAGATCCATGATTGAGAGTTGGATGCTATTAGAGAAATGGGTGATTGAGTGCTAAGAGGGGAAGAATGGTGGATTTTTTTGGCTAATTCAATTTTAGGCCACATGCGCAAGGCCTTTGCGGTTCAAGCATTGAATAAGACAATAAAAGGAGTTGTTGTTGCTAGAAGATTTTGGTAGCAGTAATAGAACTTGTGTGTTTGAGTGTCTCATGTTAGAATTATATAAGGAATTAAGTTAGAACCGCCCACAACCATGGAAGCCTAATTGGCTATGGGCTCTATTTCTACCATGATTACTGAAAGAGAAACGAGCGAATATTACGCCAATGGTTGGATAGAGTCGGACATAGAAATATTATCTTTAGCAAGCGATGATTCTTCACTTAACAAGAGACCATAGAGGTCATCAAAAGATATGGGTTTAAGTCGAGCCTCAATGCTATGAAAAAATAGATGATACGTTAGTCCAAGACCACCAAGAATGTCGAAACAAAATCATCCTTTAGAACTAGATGATTAGAGCAAATAGTTGATAAGAGATTGTTTTGGCTCTAGTTGTATGGATAGTAATATAGTCATTGTTTTCAAGTAAGGGTGTGCTATGAGGATTTAAGTTGGCAAATTTGAATGACAAAGCTAGAGGCATAGGCTTTGGCAAGTTTTTTCCATGCGAGCATAGGTTGTCCTAGCACTTACAATATAAGAGAGTCTGGTTTTAATGAGGGAGCAAGCAATCTAACTAAGAATGAGTTGGTCTTTATGGAACCGGACAAAGTAGTCTAGATTTGGAACAACATCATCAAGAAACTATGAGGGAGGATCAACAGAGCCATCAATATGGTGAATGAGCTTGTACCTACATAAGAAAGGGTAGAGTTGAGTTTGCTAAAGGAGGTAGGTTGTGGGAGAGAGTTTGATGGATAATTAATTGGAATTTCGAAGAGAAGGAGCTATGGAATTAAAAGTAGTAGGAGATGGAGTAAAGAGAGAAAGTAAAGGATCATAAATGATGGAGAGAGAGAGAGAGAGGAAAAAGAAAATGAATAGAGCTTGTGGAACCAAATTAAGGATGATGATAGGAAATATGGAAATTTGGTTTAGGAAGTATTTGGTTGTTTTGGGTTTGAAGAAATGAAACGGGTTAGAGAGGGAATGATAACTGGTGTGTTTAGTAACGATAGTTAAAGAACTAGCTAGGTGTAGGTAGGAAAGAGAGAGGAAAAAAAAAAAAAGAGATCCACACTTTGGCTATTAAGCCTAAATCAACTATGATACTATGAAAGAGTTCGTACTTTATATGCTGCAATAGTCTGGGATACAATAGTATATATAGGAGTTTACGAACTATACGGATAGAGTCCTAAGCATTATCTATCTCTATTTGAATTCTAGTTTGAATTTACGTTTTGAATTGAAGTTTGAATAACCTAATCCTTATCGGCCTTCACTCAAATTTAGAGAAAAAAATTAGAGTTTGCTCGTACAATTTGTTCTTTCGGTTACATTTGTCTCCATAGATAACATGTTCTTTTGATAACATTAACCCCCATGATGTTTTTTTTTTTTGGATCCTCCTAGCTAGGTATCCTAAACCTAAAGACCTAGATTAATCTCTTGCTATTCCGTGGAATGCACAAGATGGGAACAACTACCTAGAAAGTTTTTTACATACATAAGGACTTGACCTCAAGATCACTTACTTAATCAATTAGAACCCCTTCCATTTAAGTCAACCCTCTTGGATGACCCTCGTGAAGTTAATTTAATGTAAAAGTATCCTCACTAAATAGTATTGATCTTCCTCATTGAGGAATATTCTTGGATCTATAACTTTAATTGCTTAAAAGCAATTTTAGGCATAATTATATACTCGGACGGATATTTCAAAATACAAGATTGATGTTATCCTACCCTATTCGGATACTATGTATGTTTTGAGATACCACAATAATAAAACTTAACTCATCTTTCCATTTGTATAATGGAAATATTGGTTGATCAATTGCATGAAATAAAATCCAACTACTCAATTTCCATACAACATCCAATATAGAAATGGAAAAGCATAACCTTTCAAAACAAAAAGTCATGTTCATGGTAAAAAAAATAGTCTTTCCAGTGCTATGTATCTATATTACAAACCAACTAACTAGTTAAACTTCAGTCCCTATACCTATCATTATTATAATTACACAAATATTCACATGAGAAAGGGATCAAAAGCACAATCTACAACTGATCTAAGCTCATCCCAGTCCCCATTCGTAAAAATCTCATTGCCATATGGGCTGGAAATGTTTGAGGATGAAGCCATAGATGGTGGCTGAGCTGTGTAGCTCAGCTGGTCTACATGCAGTGGTTTCCCTTCGTTGACATGATTAACTGGAGGCTTAATATCGTAATGTTGAATGAGTGGAGCACCAAAACTCATGTAGCTTTCTTGAGTGTAATTAGACTCCACTTGACTGCATATCTTGGAGCTTGTGTCAATTGGTGGTTGTTGACGTTTAGTTGATAATTGCCTCCAATCTGGAGTGTATTTTCTGTATGACACATTTCTTTTGAAAATCCTACAGAGTGTCCATACTTCCTGTAATCCATCAAAAAAATAATTAAAAAAAACAATCAGAATCCAATTTCCATGATCTTTCTATGTATTATTCCACAATAAAATGATACATATGGACTGTGGTTTGAAATTAATGCATGAGGTGATTCAATCCGTTCATCATGTATGTGTAGCATGACCGTCGTGATGGACAAATTAACTATATCACTAGACAAATGCACGGTACTGCAAAAAGACAGAAAATCATTATTGTAGAAGACAATAATAATACTGTGTGTAATGCATGGGTGGTATAATTGAACTCAATCTGGTTCATAAAGTTTTGATATCATGCTAAATAGATATTTGATAAAAACTTCATCAGTATCCGAATCTAGTGATCAAGATTAGTTGAAAGAAAATAAATAATAGATAGTTAACTTGTTATTTCCATCTTGAGTTAAATTATGTTTATTTAATTTGAATTTATAATCTATTAGTTTAAATTTAAGGAAGATAGCAGAACATTATAGAAAGAAACACAAGAATATCCCAATCTAACACAAATATATTGGTCAATTCATGTAGTAATTTTCCTTCCACAAAATATGTTAATGATTCACAATAATACCAGATATATATACTAGGAGTTTTTTTTTTTTTCCGCCTAATATTCTATAAGGGATGATACATTCATAATATAATATCAACGATAAAATCACTAATCTAGCAAAGATTTTTAGTACTTAGTAAAACAATTTAATTAAAAAAAAAAAAAAAGGTCTTAATGTCTCTAGCATCTACAATTTATGATAGTTAGTTTAAGTTCTTACAGCTTCTTGGGCAGAGACTTTAGCATTGGCAACGGCAGTGGAGCTGGTGTTATCATTAGTGGGAAGGCGAAACTCGTGCATCATCCAATCAGTTTTGGTGCCTTTTCCAGCACTTCCGCGGTAGTAAACAAGTGTTTTCTTGAGCCCAATGCAGTCTCCTCCAACTGAATGCACTGGCTTGTCAATGCCAGTTGCTTTCCAAAATCCAGACCCTGTCACCCTATTAGGTCTTATGCTGTTCCTATACTTTCTTCCTCTTTTGCAAAAGAAGTATCCTTCCTTATCTCCAACACTGCTTGGCTCTACATGAATATATCCAAAGAAATGAGAGAAAGATAGAGATATGCAGAAAAATATAAGCAAGAAGGGGACATGCTGAAACAAATTGTTTATATACCAAACGTTTTGCGAGCTTTTTCTTTTCTTTTCTTTTCTTTTCTTTTCTTTTCCTTTTTTCGTGAAGAACTGAAATTATACTTCTTTTACCCCATTTTCTTAATTTTTTCGTTTATAGATTTATATTCTGACATGGGTATAGCTAGAAACCCTAACTGATTCTGCATATCAAGATATACTTACAAGATCTATAACCATAATTTGAACTTTTTAATACAAAAAGAGTAAACTGAATCAGTCAATCATAGCGAGATTTAAAAAAGTATCATAGCTAGATTTAAAAAAGTATCTTAGCTAGCTAGCTTCATGAAAATCATTACAACAGTTTGAAAGCACTATTATTTTAGGAAACTGATTCCTTAAAAAATATATGATATTAATTAATCCATGCATCAAATTCTTTTGATTTTTTTTCCGCAAATCTAATTTCTTTTCTTTGTTTTGATTGAAAAATTTCATGTGAAAAAGTAAAGAATTATTTGGTAAAATACAATTAAGAGGTGAAACAAAATAACATACTTGGTAGATCCCATGGATCATATTTGTAGATGTCAACTTGTTTAATAAGCTCAATACTGAGAGGCTTCTTGTCAACCTTTCGACGAAGATAGAAGCCAACTAGTTCTTCATCTGTTGGGTGAAATCGAAACCCTGGAAGTTGAACTTCGTCTTCATCATCATCTTTATAATTACTGCTGCTAATATGATCTTGACTGTTGTTCATATTGATGATCTTCTCCACCATTAGATGCAGCCCTTTTTTTTTCCTTCCTGATGTTGCAATGGAAAGAAAATGATGATCAAAAGAGTTTGAAGTTAATTTTTGGACGTGAACGAACGTTATTTAATAAAGTCTTGAGGGGCTAAGGTCAAGTCTCCAGTTTGACTCTAACTAGGTAAATAGGACCCACCAAGATCTAAGAAGGTAGAAATAGTCTTTGCATTTGTTCCAGCGTTGCCATCGACGACCTGATAAAAACCATAAAATCACAACTTTATTGTATTTTTTTCTTCATGGAGTCAAATTTTTTAAAATAATATATGACATCTGCACATAAATGTAAAACAAGAAGACTAGATCACTAAAACTACCCTTGATTATGGCCTCCCATTAATTTTTTTTCCTCTATTAGTAATATGTAGCTAGTATCTTAGTTAACCTATTCAAGTCAAAACATATAAAAAGTGCCATGTATTTGTTGTTGAATCTTCTATCCATTAATTTACAAGGCTAACGTACAATGGCATAGACCAAAAATAAAAGTCCCTTCTAGACCATATGTGTAGAGTTCTGGAGTTATTTCCGTGTGTTTAATTAATTAGAGTAACTCGTGTTATTATTTTTCTATGATATTTATCCCGTCCTAATTTATTTTTTATTGTATTACTTATGCAGTTAGAAAATCAATTAAACATAGCAATAGAAATATTTAGTTATTTTATGCAAACTAATATTAAATTTCCATGTCTCCATAAGAATTGTCACTCACTTATATATATATATATATACAATAAAATAGATTCAAATGGAAAAATTTAAGACTCATTCAGTCCAAAATTTAGGTTTGAATTCTGTCACTAATTTTAATTTGGCCATTTAATTTGGAAAAGTAGCATTATTGATTTAATTAATTTAATTACTGGTATATATTATTGATCTGATCCAAATCAAACCAAAAGGGATTTACAAAAACTAGAAATATTCTTAAAAAAAATGGCATCCATTAATTCAGAAAGATATTTATAACTTAGAAGTAAATTGGTATAATTATTTGATACTCCTATTCAGTTTATGAATTAAAAAAGAAGTCAAGTCAAAAATAGCTAGGGCAATATAAAAATAAAAATAAAAATAATTAGCTCGATTTTTTGTTGTAAGAGAGAATTTTTTTCGGTTTTAGATGTCGTATAAGAGTTTAATATATTGAAAACTACTTTTATACATAAATTATTTGATTGCGTGGGACATCGAAAGTCCACAATAAACAACAATTCTATTATACCCCTTTTCTTCTTTTAGCAAGTGATGTTTTGAATTAACGAATGTTCATACATAATCTCATGTGCACAAGTATTTTGACCATGAAACTAGCTAGTCCATGGTGAAAGCATGCCAAATACATTGTTCAGTTCCGAATTACAAGGAGAAAATTTGTCAAACTGGCTGATTGATACGTTTATAGCTTTGATGAACCATATATTCTGGCCCCTGTGTCTCAAGGCTGTCCCGAGCATTGCATTTTCATTCGTGTTTCATCGTTAGCCATAGACCATAGGTATTAATAAGGAAAGAACACCAAGTGGCTCGGAAACCCTGGCATGGGGAAGAGAAAATAAAGAAGAGGTTTGCATCAAGCAGAACATCCAAACACAAGAAGAAAAGCGTAACACCCACACCCCAACACCACACCCCCAAACCCCACCCCCCTGAAAGGATGGAAAGGATAAAATAAGAGAATGCAATGTAGAAAGAACGAATGTTAACCGATTTATTTAATCGTTTCGCTAACATGAAATGAAAAGAATAGAAGTCAATTTGTGGGACATTAGATGAATGATAGAAAGGATAATTCATTAACTTCCAACTATTTAGATCTCTGTCGTATATGATATAAATAAAGAAAGAATTATCTCATACACCCTTTTTCATGCATCTTCTCTACTATCTCTTTGGATTAACAAACATAGCCTTAATCTATTCACTAAATATCTTTATGAATTAATGGATGCCATTTTTTTTGAAGAATATTTTTTCTGATCGTTTGTAAAGCCTTGTTGGTTTGGTGATTGCAAATAGGAAGGGCTATAATGTATATGCCATTTAAAATTCCAATCCCTAATTAGCATTAGCATTAGTATGCAATAGAGACTTTTAAATCAAATTTTGTTTACAGCCACGGACGAAAGAGTCCCGAAAAAAATGTTTGTTTTTTTTTTTCTTTTGGTGAATTTTCAAGATATTTTAACTCCAAAAGCTGAGACTAATACTTCTCTGTTTTATTATATATACAAAATGAAAATAATTACTTAAAGAATTTTTTATATACATAAAAACTCTAATATCAAATCAATTACTTAAATAATTAGAGTTTTTTTGTATTCAAATCAATTATGGCGGGTAAAATGTTTGTCTTTCATACTATTAATATATAATCTGTTATTAGCACGAAAAGTTAGGAGTTAATCTAGAGCATTTGGACCAAGAGAATGTTGACTTAAGACCTCGTTTCTGCATGATTTGAGTTTCAAAGGACACAATTATTATGGGCGACTTAATAACTTAGTATTGACTTTCAGACTTTTTTTCCGCCATCAGTTTCAGATTTTTAGATGGTTTAATGACATTGAAAACAAATCACATGATTTTAGAATTTCATTATTTTAATTGTAATCTTTATATAATAAATAAGACAGAAAATTGGTTTGCAAACAAATTTTTATACAGGCCAATGTATCACATGATTAATGTTGGGTACATAAGTAAGTGATAACTATCCCATATTAAAAATGAGGTATGTATATATAAAATGGACTTATAACCTATTAATTTAGATTTTTGAACTAAAATAGTGTTAACCTTATATGTAATTAAGTGTTCATGCGTGCATGTAAGAGAGTATGGCATGAATTGACTTTCATGGTTGCTACTCTTATGGTGAAAATGAAGAGCTACTTAGACTCTTGGACGAAGGGCGTATAGTTCGTGAAGTAGTGAGAACTTCTCCTAGGTTAGAAGCAGAGGGCAAGCGTCGTTTCTTAGATGAGCAAAATCTAGTAAAAAGTGTTGAGCTTTTTTTATGACACCAGTGTACTTCATGGTGACCTCATTATAGATTGTTAAATATTGTTTGCTATATGAAAAGTTGCGATCGAATGGACCATATTAACATGTGAATGGGAGATTCGTTGGATACATATGCTAGTGGTAACTATTCTATATATATAAAAAGAGAGAGAGAAATGAGGTGTTTAGGCTATGTTTGTTTGAGGAAAATAAGTTTAGAGAACATGTTTTTTTTATATATATTTCAGTATTTATTTTGTATTTAGAAAAAAAATAAGTAAAAAATGATTTTCAGTAAATGAAAAATGATAAAGTATTTTTAGGAAGATATTTTCTCTGTTTTAAAAGAGGAAAACATTTTCCTTCTCATGAGCTATCTCGTTATTGCGTTACTTACCTCTCTCTTAATATTTTTTATCAATTTTTTCTCTATCTTCTTTTTATTTAAAATATATCAGATTAATTTCTAATTATTCCTTATCAATTATTATTAATTATTTAATTATTTTTCTCTATTTTTGCTGATATTTGATTTTTTTATTTATAGATACATTAAATATTCTTAAAAATTATTTTTACACCTTAAAATTATTTTTATAATAAATATTTCAATAATTTATCTCTATTTTTTTGCTATTATTTTAAATATCAGCTAAACTATACTTGAATGATTGAAAATAATTATTACAAGACTCTAATTTTTTGTTAAAAAAAAATATTAAAATTAATTAACTCATCAATAAATATATTATTTTTCAACACTATTCATTTGAAATTAAATTAATAATTTATAATTTTAATTAATTATTAAATTTTGTTGGCAATTGTAGTGAATAATTAGTTACAAATTATTCCAACATTAATTTTTGAAGACTAAATAAATAATTATCTATAAATGATAACTAATAATTTATAAAACTATTTTTCAAACTAAATTTCTTAATTGAGTTAATAAAATAATAATGCTAGGATTACTTAAAATCTTTGTTTACTAAATGTGAATATTGATTTGATTTTGTCCCAAGTAATTTTAATGAATTGATTTGATGGTTAAAAAAATATATTTTATTTTTTGAATTGAAATTTTAGAGTTAGTATGAAAATTTATTAAAATTTTCTAAAAATGTATTATATTGTGAAATCATGAATATGTCTTTTTGAAGTTTTGAAAAAACTTATTGATATAACAATCACATATGTTTGTGTATTTTAATTTTCCGTATCAAACAAACGCTAAAATATATTTTCTAATAGGTTTTTTATATAATTGTCAAACGACAAAAAATATGTTTTTGGAAAACAATTTCTTGAAAAATAACTTTCTTATGAATTGATTTTTTTATGGAACTGGTTTTCCCCAAACAAACACAGACCTTAGATATAAAATAGATTCATAACTTAATTATTAGTCTAGACTTTTAGAATAAAGTAGTGTTCATCATTTTATATAAGTCTTTACACATTGATGAGACTTAGACAACTCTTTAATGCATATTTAAAAATTTGCAAATGCTTTAATATTTTAAAGAATAGTGGTAGTTATAAGATTCTATTCTTTTTTCCTTTTTTTTCTAATCTTGTTGATTTCCATGATCGAACGAAAGAGAAAAAACTTGACGAGAGAAAGAAGAAAATTTGTAAAGTAGAGAGAGCAAGAAATTTCATAAAATTGCTTCACCGATTCATATATAGAAGAATACAGAGTTGTATTTATAGGCTAATTATATATGAATCCTTAACCGATTAAGTGAGCTAACTAACTAACTAATACATATTATTAATTAATTTATAAGTCGATACTCCCTCTCAAAATGAGAATGAATGTTGTTCATACTCATCTTGCCAATCAAAACATGAAAGATGCCGAGGCCACAAAGCTTTGATAAACACATTAGCAAATTGTTCTTCCGTATTCAAATGATGAGGCTAAACAATTCCAA